TATGACAGCAACACACAAACAACCACAGTATGACAAATTGACAGATGAGGGGTAGGTCGGTCACTGGTATAATACACTGAATTTAACATTGTCTTGGATTGTTCTATAATTGTTTCTTATGCAGAAATGTTTCATTTCAACTAGGTGATGAGTTCCTTGGGGGTATAAACCTCAGTAGTCAGTTACAAAATGGCTTCAGGAGAAGGAAATTTTGGAGAGATTATCCAGTCCACGGGGGATCAGAGAGAGTTCAGGAAGTCTGTGGACTTTGATGGGAAAACAATTCCATCTTTATCATTAGGCTTTAATTGAAATGTAGCATTTCAATTCTGGATGTGGGCAACAAGCCATCATGGTATTAAGAGCACCTATGACTTTGTCATTGATAGAAATCACAGATATTTTTATATCCCATTATACATGTTAGGAGCTCTGGTGACATAGTGCCTAAGGCATTTCACTGCTAAGCAGAAGGCTGGCAGTCCAAACCCATCAGGCACTCCTGGAAGGAAGACTGGGCAATCTTCTTATGTAGAGATACCACCCCAGAAACCCAAGGAGGGGTCACTATGAGTCAGAATCAACCCAATGGCAATGAGTTATTATTATTATTATTATACATGTTGCAGATACCTCAAAATGTCATCACTGCTTTGAAATTGTGGTAGTTATTAAAGAATAACTGCCAGTAGTTAATAAAGCAGTGTATGGATGGACCTTGAAATCATTTTTACTAAGTGAAGTAAGTGAGACACAAAAGGACAATATTGTACAATTACACTTAATGAAATATCTAGAATAGGCAAATCAATAGAGATAGAAAGGAGATGAGAAAGGACTGAGGGAGGCAGGAATGGGGAGTTACTGTTTAATGGGTAAAGAGTTTCTATTTGGGGTGACAATGTGAATGTAACTATTGTCATTGAAATGTACACTTACAAATGGTTAAAATGGCAAATTTTATATGTGAGAAACCATTTTCATTCTCCTGGAACCCAGATTTCTGGGTCCATGAAGTTGGAGCGACCCACCCAGGTCATTTATCCTTGGGCATCTTTTTGAACCTCGAGCCTTGGAGAAACTGGTTCCTGCAGGTTGCCTTTGAGTCAAACAATTGTCTAGATAAACTAGTCAGACTGTTTGCTTTGAGCATTGTACTCTTCGAAGAATTCAGTCAGTTTTGGGAAACAGACATCAAAGGTCAGACTGGAAGTCATGTTTAGGATAAATCAGTAATAGTTTTAATTGTTCTTCAAGACAATACTTAGGAAAATCCTTCCTGAGCACAAATTGTTTATCAGTTATGTTTTGACCCTTTTTTCCATCGCAATGCCAATAACACGTTGTTGTTGTTGTTGTTATGTGCTGTCGAGTCGGACCCGACTCACAGCGACCCCTCCTTGGGTTTCTGAGGCAGTATCATTACAGAAGTAGATTGCCTCCTTCCGAGGAGTGGCTGGTGGGACTTAGTATAAGAGTATTTCGAGATTCTCTTATCTTCAGAACGTTTTTGACCCTTTAGTTGAAATGTTATCCTGATCTGCAAAGCATATATTAAATAAAATTTAACCAATTTTTATTATTGGTTTAAAATGTTTTTTGTTTTAACATATGTATCTTACCACAACAAAAATTTTTTAAATCTGTGCTTTAACTTTTTGATAACTTTTTTAATATAACAGAAGTTTTTAACAATCTTATATATTTTATTTTATTTTGTGCATTTAAAAATATTCTGAGAAAGAATTCATAGGCTTCACTCAAGGAGTCCATGAAACAGGCCTGTCTTTCAAGGCAGCTCTGGGTGGACTCAAACCTTCAGCCTTTCAGTTGAAGCAGTTAACTGTTCACACCAGGCAGCGTCTCCCAGAGCAACCTAGCTTATCCGTAAGAGGCATGACTAGAACCACAGGGTCCTAGCTCCCATATCAGGGCTCTTCTTACCATGCAAACTCACTCACTGCCGTCAGGTCAATTCTGACTCCTAGCAAACCCCACTGGGTTTCTAAGGCTATAAATCTTTATGGAAGCAGATGGCCTCATCTTTCTTCCATGGAGCAACTAATGGATTTGAATCACTGACCTTTTGGTTAGCAGCCAAACACCTTAACCACTACACCATCAGCGCTCTTACCATGCAGTGCCATTTAATAATTACACCCCATCCCTTTTCAGCACTGAACACATGATGGTGACTCAGCAGATATTTGTTCCCCAAGATGTGACTTCCTGATCCATAGACTATCTTGAATTTTTCTGGGATGGCTTGACAAGCCTCTTTCCTCTTAATCCATTTATCATCTTCTACCTAGGCTTGAGGAGCTCTGGTAGCATAGTGCCTAAGGCATTGACAGCTAACCAGAAGGCTGGCGTTCAAACCTCAGCAGTACTGCCTCGGCAACCCAAGGAGGGGTCGCTATGAGTGGGGTCTGACTCAACGGCACATAACAACAACAACCTAGCTTTGAAGGAGCTCTGGTGGTTCAATGGTTAAAGCATTGGGCTGCTAACCAAAAGGTTAGTAGTTCAAACCCACCAGCTGCTCTGCAAAAGAAAATTGAGACAGTCCACTTTGGTAAAGATTTGCCGTTGCTGTTGTTGTTATTATGTGCCGTCAAGTCGGCCCTGACTCATAGTGACTCCTCCTTGGTTTTCCGAGGCGTTATCACTACAGAAGTAGATTGCCCAACCTTCCTTCCAAGGAGTGGCTGGTGGGTTTGAACCGCCAGCCTTCTGGTTAGCAGTCAAGTGCCTTAGGCACTATGCTACCAGAGCTCCTCTGTAAAGATTTACAGCCTTGAAAATCTGTCTACTCTGTCCTATAGGGTCACTATGAGTCAGAATCGATTCATTGGTAGTGGTTGGGTACCTAGCCTTGAAGGAGTGTCATAGAGCATAATTCACACAGGCCAAGGGAACCAATAGCAATAATGATAACAGTAATGACACCCTTAATTGATTGAGTGCTTACTCTGTATCAGACACTCTTAGCTATGTTTATTTATACCTCACTTTGCCCACAAAAAGCCATTGTTATCCTCATTTCAGTTTGAGGCAGCCTGTACATTCCTTATGGCACTAGGTTCTGACCAGCCTGAGGCCTCTTCCCACACTCCTCAAGATCGTGTGTAAGTGCTGACCCTCCAATGGAACAAGGGTGGCGAAAATAAACAAGAAACCAGCAGAAGTTATCTCAAGACAAGAGAACTGGCCAGAAATGTCCAGAGCTGCCGCTGCTTAGCCATGCAGGCACAGTGTGGAAAACCTTCACCTGAAAGTGAACTTTTAAGGTCACAGGACAAAAAACACCCCTTGGCAGTCATGACACTGCACCCCCATTAATGCTTATTAGCTCTTAGAAAGCAAATATATTCCATGCCATCAAAAGTATACACATGAATTCTTTGTTTCAAAGTATGTAAAAACGGAAGTTATCTCCTGTTTGAGGAACTCAATTTGAGGTGGAGTCTCTGAGTTCCTTTCTTGTGCACCTGCAGTAAATGAACTTAGCTCTCCTCACCCTGGTGTTCTCCTTATCAACTCAGAAGCCATGCCAGGCAGAACCTTCTGACAGCATTTGTCTACAAGCAAACCAAAACCAAACTCACTGCCACTCAATTCCAATTCACAGTGACTCCCACAGGGCTTCCAAGGCTATAAACCCTTACAGAAGCATACTGCCTCATCTTTCTTCCACAGAGCAGTTCGTGAGTTCAAATCACCAACCTTTTGGTTAGCAGCCAACTGCCAGAGCTGCCACTGCTTAGCCATGCAGGCACTACACTACCAGAGCACCTTTGTCTACAGATGAGAAAAACAAGACTCAGAGATGTTAAATGATTTCTCCAAGGCCACACAGCCAATAGCTGATTGCATTACAAATCCAGGTGCTTCTGATATGTTAAATTACAATGAGGTTGTAGTAGCTGGAGCCGTAGGTAGACAGGTGGCCAAGGAATAGTCTCTCTCAGATCTAGATCCAAAGGACAAAAAGACTGAGTGCAGCTGTTCCTGGGGCAGGTAGAGCCACTGGCTGCTGACTGTGCAGCTTGTGGCAGGTGCTGGTGGGCTTGGCAGGTCACCCTCAGCAGTTCAACCAGCTTCACAAGGCACTGATTTCTGATTTGATCTGTGCCTACCCAATGAAAGCAGAGATGGCACCCATATCTCATCTCGGTTGTTTGCACATGTGTGTTCCATGAATGTCTTTACCCACAAGCATAAACAGAGCAGTGCAGTGTGGTTTCAGTTCAGGGCAGCAGCCTGAGCATCCTGGGGCTCTCTGAAGGCAATGCCTCCTTTTTTTTTTTTTTTTCTGAGAAGGAGGAGGAAGAAAAAACATTAGAGGAGTGGGTATAATCTTTTTCTTTTCCCTTGAATCATGTATAAGACTTCTTGACACTTAGCTGACATATTTATTCACTTGCCCATTTAACACTCACCCACTCAGCATCTACACTATACTGAACTCTCAGAACTACCAAGAAATATAAGTGAGCAAACCTTTCCTTCTAGTAGTAAAGGAGACAGTAATAGATCAAGAAGTTATCAATTATATATTAAAACACATAAGTATAAATATAACTTAATGTAATAACATATCCTGGATTGATATAATTTAAATGTAAACATGTAAAATATAATACGTAAATAATAAATACAGTGTAAAGGTGATAAGTAAACAAACAATAGCTATATATATGGAGAGGCAAACTCCCCAGAAAACATGAGTTTGGGGTGCTGAGGGAAACACAGGAAGAGACTCAACCCAGTCCTAAGCATCAGACAGATTTTCCCAGAGATACAGGAAAAGGGTGAGAAACTATTTACCAAACATTTCCAGCTAGTACAGCAGAGGGAAAGAGAAAGTGGAGAATTATGCACTGGGTCTTTAATCTTTTACTTGAAGGGACATGTATCACTTTCCCTCATATTTCACTGACCAATGCAACTCATGTGGCCACACCTAATTTCAAGAGAGCAGGGAAGTGCAATCTTACCATATGCCACAGAGAAAAACTGGATATATTTGGTGACAGCACCAATGACTATCACACTACTAAACATGTCTGTCCCTCCAACCCAGAGACCCTATTTACTTGTCTTCCCACCTCACCCATGGATCTCTACTGGCCACTCCTGGATACACTGGGATCAAATTAAGCTATATTCAAACCTAATTCCATAATCCACCCCTAAGACCTAGCTTACTTCCTATGTTAGCCTATTTCCATGAGGCACAACACCAAGGCTATCCTACATGTCCCCCTCACTCTCTCTCAACATGCCATCCATCCTCAAGTCAGGCTGGATCCATGCTCTAATCCATACTCTCTGTCATATTCTCATGGCAGTGGCCTTAATCCAGGCCATTGCACCTCTCTCCAGAAGGACAGCTATACCTTCTGTCTCCCTGTTCCAGTCTTTATTATTAATATTTTATTTATTTTCTTATTGTTGAGAATATGCACTAATTCAACAGTTTCTACATGTATAGTTCAGTGACACTGATTACATTATTTGAATTGTGCAACCATTCTCACTCCTTTTTTCTGAACTGTTCCTCCTTCATTAACATAAACTCACTGCCCCCAAGGTTCCTATCTAATCATTTGAGTTACTGTTGTCAGTTTGATCCCATACAGATGTTCTTATAAGAGCATACTGCTCAAGGCAAATATGTTTTACTACTTATTGTTTGGTTATAAGACAACTTCAGGGCCTATTTTTGACTTAGGGTCTAAAGATTATCTCAGGACAATAATTTCAGGGGGTTTATCCACCATCCATGGCTCCAGAAGGTCTGGAATTCATGAGAAAATTAAGTTCTGTTCTTCATTTCCCTCTTTTGATCAGGATTCTTCTGAAGAATCTTTGATCAAAATGCTCAGTAATGGTAGCCAGGCACTGTCCAGTTCTTCTGGTCTCATGGCAAAGAAGGCAGTTGTTCACAGAAGCAATTAGCCATGCATTCCATTTCCTCTTCTTATTCCTAACTGTCCTTCTTCCTCCATTGATCCAGTCTTGACTCTCCAATCTAGTCTATATGCTACATCCCACTGTAATGCCAAGTTTGCTAAAATGCAGGTGTGATTGTGTTAGTTGCTGCTTAAAAGCCTTTAACGGAAAACCTGCATATTTACAACTTTATTAATAATGGCCAAAAATTGGAAGCAACCAAAATATTCTTCAATAAATTAATGAATAAACAAACTGTGGTACATCAACTCAATGGAATATTATTCAGTGATAAAAAGAAATGAGCTAAAATAACACCAAATGTAGGTATAATGAGCATGGCTTGACCAATGTAAACAATGCCACTAAGAAGCTCACAAGAGAAAAGAATATTTGTGCAAAAGAATAAGACATTTATAATTTTCAAGAACATTAACAATAACCAAAAGACAAATGCATGGTCACAAAGGTATGTGTGTAGGCATATATATGTATAGATAGGTACATGTGTGTATATATGTGTGCAAGGAGAGAAGTATCTGTATGTATAAGTACATACAGACATGTATATATATATTCATAGAGGACACAGTTATAAATTCTTCTCAGATATAACCAAACACCTTACGAAGCTGGTTCTCTGGGTTTGAAGGCATAGGACCTTAATCTCAGTCTCTGCATCCTAATGAATGAGTAGTGTCTGGGATATTAGAAGTAACCATCTAAGATACATCTGTTAGTCTCTACTCACCAGGAGCAAAAAAGAGTGACAAAAACTGTGTCTCAGAGAAGAACCCAGTCTACAGGCTAACAGTCTACATGACCACAGTCTCATCTACCCTTAGACCAGAGGAACTAGATAGTACCCCTCTACCACTACTGTCCTTTCTGAGCAAGACCACAATAAATGGTCCCTGATAGAATGAGAGGGAAATGCAGAACAGAACTCAAATTCTTAAAAAGTTCCAACTTACTAGACCATTTGAGATTAGAGGATTCCCTGAGACTGTTGCTCTGAAATACTCTTTAAATATTAAACCAAAACTCTCCCCTGAGGTCTCCTTTCAATGAAATAAGAGATTGGCATATAAAATAAAAGATATTACCTATAAGTATGGTGCTCCATTAAAAAACTATCTATATGAGAGCAAAATGTCAACAATTACTCTACAGCAAAGATAAGAGTAGAGAGCAGGGACACTAGAGCTCTGGAAAGGGAACAACCAAAGCACAATTAAAGAGAATGTTAACACATTATGAAAAATGTAACTAATGTCACTGAATACTTTGTACAGAAATTGTCAAACGGGAACCTAATTTGCTGTGCAAACCTTTACCAAAAACACATGTTCAAGAAAAAAAATATATTATTAAAAAAGAAAAAGAAATGAGCTTGAGTTTTCCACAAAAAGGCATGGAAAAAATTTAAATACATATTGCTAAGTGAAAGAAGTCAGTCTGTAAAAGCTACATACTATATGATTCCAACTACTTGATATTTGGAAAAGGCAAAATTATAGAGATAGTGAAAAGAACAGTGGTTACAGAGGGTTAGACGGAGAGGGAGGAAGTGAATAGGTGGAGCTCAGGGCATTTTTAGGTTGGTGAAACTATTTTGTATGATAATGGTAGACACATGACATTGTGCATTTTTCAAAACCTCTAGGTCTGTACAACACAAAGAATGAACCCCAGTATTAACTATGGACTTCAGTTAATGATAATGTATCATTATTGGCTCATCAATTTTAAGAAATATACCACTGGAATACAAGATGTTAATAGGAGAAACTGTGCAGGAGGAAAAGGAGGTATATATACTGAACTGATCTTCTGTGTAATGTTTCTGTAAACCTATCTGTTCTAACAAAGAAAAGTCTATTTAAAAACTAAAGAACAAAAATCCTTTGATAGCTCCCATTTTTCTATAACACACAATTCTAAATCTTCAACAGATCCTTTCAGGATCTAGCATCTGCTTCACCTGGTAGCTCCATCTCTTAGACTCCATGACTTGTCACATGCTGTCTTGGCCCAGAACGTATTTTTCTCCATCCCACTCAGCAACTCCTCAGAAGGAAGATGGGGCAATCTACTTCTGTAGTGATACTGCTCGGAAACCCAAGGAGGGGTCACTATGAGTTGGGTCTGACTCGAGGGCACATAACAACAACAACAGCAACTCAGCTCAGGCAACTTGGTTAGCTCCTCTTCACTCAAAACCCAGCTCTCGTACCATCTCCTCCAGACAATCTTCTTTGACTGCTCCCCACCCCGTCCCTCCCCTGACCTAATTCAGGTGTTCTTCTAAATAAGCATCCTGCACTTCTCTACATTAGTACACACCGTAATTGACTATCTGTCAAATTATGAGCACTTTCAGAGCGGTGACAGGCTCTTACTCATCTTAATCTCCCTAAGGTCTGGCATAGAGCTGGCACAAAAAGGGTGCTCAGTAAATGATTACTGAATGCAAGAGCAGTATCATTCCACACCTTCCTACCACAGCCCCTGTTGAATTGTCTTCCCATCTTATCCAAAGCCTTGGTCCTACAAGGATTCATGGAGCATCTACTTTGTACCCTGTGCTAACCACTGTTAGGGAAAGGATGTGATGTAGTCAGAGACACATCTACTGCCTACAGGAAGCTTTTAGTTTGAGTAGGAAGTTGAGACACCTGCAAGTCACCGAGATCCATGTGGTACTTGACATGGAGATGACAACTGGAGATGAGAGCCATTGCTTAAATCTTCCCCACCTTGGCCTTACAGAGTCACAGTATAGAAGATCTTGTCCAGTCCTCCCACACTGCAGGTGAAGAAGGCCCAGAGAGGTGAAGAGATTTACCCACAGTCACACAGGGAGCTGCCATGGACACTGAAACCTAGACCAGCCTTAGCACACGCATACACACACACATACACACACACAGAGGCAAATGCTCTTCAAGAAGATATGGATGCTTCCCATTTCCAAGCAACATACTGAGAAAGTAAGAAGACCCTTGATTAAGTAGAGCGAACTATATTTTTACTTCCCTGCACTTTTCTTTCAGAAGAAAATAGCAATTTAATCAAATAATTTATTCTTTTTCTCTTTTAACCAATAATTATTATTTGAGCACCTCTCATGCTCAAAGCTCCATGCTGAGCACCAGAGATGATCCAAGAGAAAAAACCCATCTTTGCTTCAGGCTGTGGAGACAAGACTTATGGGCCTGTCCTGTTAACTGAGATGGCAAGGGAATTGCCAAGTGAGTGGTTCAGGCAATAAAGATAGTTTGCAAAAATTTCACAGGAAAATGCCCCAAGGAGAGATTTATTCAGAAAAGTAACTAGTGGGGAGATCCCTGGGCTCAACTCAATTCCCAACCCTAATCACCCTTCTCTCCGTGACCCTATTATGCAGTTGGACTTCAAATAATGATCCTATAGTCCTGAACGAGGAGCTCTGGCAGCATAGTGCCTAAGGCACTTGACTGCTCACCAGAAGGCTGGCGGTTCAAATCCCCCAGCCACTCCTCGGTTGGGCAATCCTACTTCCGTAGTGATACTGCCTCAGAAACCCAAGAAGGGGTTGCTATGAGTCGGGGCCGACTCGACGGCAAACAATAACAACAACAACAACAGTCCTGAACGATGCAGAATCAATAGAGTCACTAGAGTTGGTGTCACCCACTGCAGTATCTCATGGTGTCACCTCCCCCCACAATGGATTTCATCCCAGCCCAGACCATATAGTATCCTTAGTAATGTTTTTTGAACTAATGTTACTCATAAATCATAATTCACATATATTACTGAATGTAATTACACCTTTAAATTAGAATAACATGTACAGACTAAACCATGTGATTTGAAGCATCATTGTAATTGGGTAATAATGACAGCTCTGACCTGAGCTTATTAGAAGGTTCAAAAGTAAATTAACATAGAGTTTTGGCATTGTAGATATATTGATACATGTAAGCTGGGCATACAAAAAAAAAAAAGTTTTTGTTCTTGTAACTAACCATAGAGATATTTTTATTAAAAATAATAAATTTCTGCTGAAACACTGAACAAAAATTTTATAGACAGTCATTTTGGTGTCACTCCCTCTAACAGTG